AATTAGACCTTAGCATCTGCGCCACCCATGGCAGGCAGCAAAGAGGTGCTGCTTTGTGCCTTCAGAATGGCACTAAATGTGTTTATCTTTGGGAGAATGGGGAAAACAGGCAACTTTCTAAAACTGAGTAAGAGCTGGGGAGATGGCTCAGTAGAAAAGTCAATTAGCCGGAGGAACTGACTTCAAATCTCCAGAACCCATAGAAAAAGTCAAGCCTGGTTGTACACAACCCCAGGGTGGCAGGACAGAGAGAGGGAGATCACTGGGGTTGGCTGCCTAAGATCCTGTCTCAAGGAAATAAGGCAGAGAGCAGGGCACCTGGTGTCCTCTATCCTCTCTGTGTATGTACCCAAAACACACACACACACACACACACACACACACACACACACACACGACACTGACACATGCACACTCGTGTATATACATACACATACACATATGCTCATGGAAACAAATACAAAAATTAAATGGACAAGGAGAGGGAGATTCTGCTGTCCCCCCCCCCCTTGTCCTCCTGCTTTGGTGCCTGAGTCCATCCCCTGGGACCAGCTGTTGGCCCTCCAAGTCACCCAGGACTGTTTCTAAGTTGGGACACACAACACTCAGAGGTGAGCTATTAATTGTGCTTTGTGGCTCAGCCTCGATCTTGATTTAGGGCAACATAAACTCTGTTCAAAATTGTGAAGAATAAATTAGTTTGCTAATTTTGCCATTAAGAGTTGATCAACGGGACACGGTTGCCACCATCCTGCAATCAATCACCATTTTCTGTGTTTATCTCCTGTTCAATTTTTACCATAGGGTTCTGTACGCATCAATTTGTGCCGATGCTCTTCCTACATATGTTTTAAATTACTTTATCATTGTATAAATTTCACAGCCATTAAAAAAGCTCTAATACTGTAGTGGCTGACATGGTGTTAAAAATTGGATTAAATTCCATGGGGTAATAAATTGTGACCTAAATCCAATCTCTCATGGGTGACTGAAGGATACAATGAAAAATTATTGCTTTGTCATTTTTACACTAACACAAATATACTGGGAAACCAAAAGTGAAAGAGAAATGCGGACATCCATGCAGCCTGTTGCTCATCTAGGTGACCAGCTAACTTCAAAGACCATTCAGGGTCTTCAGTGGGGTCAGCCCCCACTCCAGCAGCAAGTGAATTACTTGACAGTGTGGCTCTTTACAGCAGCTGGGAGGTGGCATAGGCAGAGCCCTGCACAGCTTTTTTCTTTTGTAGGTGGCATAGCATATAGTTGAGCTAATGGCCATTGAACCCCTGGCCCACTGAATCCTGACTCTGCTCCTTGTCAACTGTGTGGTTTTGACAGGTCTTCTCTTTCTGTGTCTTAATCTCCTGCATAATAGAGTTGGCACAAGGAGTCACTGAGTTAACCTGACTCACTGGCTGAGACACATCCTAGGCAATTAGTCATTCCTAGTGGACTGCTAAGTGTGACTACATGTTTTGAACCCTTTGTCCACAATGCTAGAACCAGAAGGGCTCAGATTTCAGGGGTTTTTTATTTGAAAATTTTCTTCAACTACATAATGAGATATCTTGTAGATGGGATTCAAATCTAAACATGAAATTTATTTATGAGTATTTACATTGCATATATAACTGCTATATGCATATATTATACATATATCTGAAGGTAATTTTATATTTGAAGAGTATCTTCATTTTGACTGTTGTGTGTCACAACAGGTCATATGTGGAATTCCCTCTTGAGGGCTGGAGTTGGCTGTGCTCAAAAAAGGGCAGACCTGGGCACCATGGCTCATACCAGTAATCTCAGTACTCAAGACGCTGAGGCAGAAGAATCTGGGCTACCTTGTCTCAAGAAAACAACAAAAACTGTCGGCTCTTGGAGCATTTCAGATTTTGTACTTTCAGATTAGGGCTGCTCAACTTATCTCTATTTGTTTGCTTATAGACAGGAATTCATAATTCATGTAGCCCAGAGTGGTTTCAAACTCACTATGTATCCAAGGATGATCATGAACTTCTATCCTCTTACCTCCATCTCTACAGTGCTGGGATTACAGGCCTGCTCCACTGGACCTAGTTTATATGATGCTGGGGATGGAGCCTAGAGCTTAAGACATGCTAAGCAAAGTACTGTACCCTGAACTACATCCTCAGTCCCCTAGATCCTGTCCTATTTGAATTGCCATCCCAAGCAAATCATTGCCAAAGGCTCTGCTGTAGACTAGCGCTGCCAGCCCTCCCCCAAAATTTTCAAAACCATCAACTGCCAATCAAAAGATGATCTGTTATTGGGCCTGCTGGTACAAATCTGCTTTCATAGCTATAAGAAGGCTGATGCTACTTATTCATTCGATGATGGCTAGCTTCTCCTAGAACATAAAATAATACTAATAGTTGAGTCAATCAATGAACCCAGTATATTCAAGAGTGTAAGTCGTTCCATCTGGAGAGTGTTAACTTTCTTAACAAGTGCTTCCAAAAGAGACCAAATTCCTATCCAAAGACCATTTCTCCACTTACCTTCCTAAGACACTCCTGTCAGACCCACAGTCCTTCCCTCTGCCCTGCTTGATGCCAGAAAGCTAATAGTATCTTTTCTGCCTATCGCCCATGTCTGCCCTGCAATGTGAATGTCAAAAGATCAGCTGTTGTCTCTCTCCTTCATCATATCACTCATTCAGCACCCTGTTTAGGTGCGTGTAGGGACTAGATATGGAATATTCTCTTAAAATGCTCATGTGCAGAGCTTGGTCTACAGCTTGGTGTTCAGAGGTGGGGCTTTCCAAAAGTAACTAATCTGCCCTAATCAAAACAGATCAACCCATGGATGGATGCATCTTTTGGTGGCATTGTTAGGAGATGAGGGGAATTAGAAGATGAAGCCTAGTGGCAGAAGTAGGTCACTAGGAGCATGCCCTTGAAGGGAATACCTAGTTCCCAGTCCCTCCCTCCCTGTCTTTTCATTCTGGTTGCCATGAGCGAACAGCCTGCTCTACAACACAATGACTGCCACACCAGCCATGATGCTCTGTCCTGTCTTGGCCATAGCCCCAAAACAACGAAGCCAAGTGACCAGGGACTACCAAGTCTGAAAGAGGGCCATAGACACCCTTCCTCCTTTAAGTTGTATTGTTTAGGCACTTTTGTCACAGCTAAGAGAAATGGCCAACACACTGTTAAGTACATTCGTTGGCTTAACGAAATAGGTACTATTGAAGTGTGCTGAGGGAAGATCAATGTTCCTGTTGAAGATGAGCTTCCATGGCATTCTTTGGGTATCCTACATTTTCCCCAGGATTGTGAAAAAGCCAGAGGATGTGAGATAGGATTTCATTCATTCCCTTATCTCAAACCACTCAATAGCAGCAGAGATTTGATGAATATCAAGCCTGGTGCCAGGTGCTAGAAGAATCAACAATTTTGTTCAAATCTATGAAAAAAGAAGCTTGCCAACTGTACAACCTAAATTACTAGTATTCTCAAACTGCCTGTGACATTCCTGGCAACAGGGGCCCAGATGCTAGTGTCTTCATGGTTACTTGGGAGAGGGAGAGTTGCTGTGCTATGGGGTGAGGTAGCCAGGGAAGAAGAGACAGGCACCCATGTGCTCCAGGCCAGTAAAGCACCCCAGCTTGCACTGCCTCCCAGCCATGCCGGAGCTTTATCCTTCTCCAAAATCCCCTTCCAGCCTTGAACAAAAGGGAAGCCGATTAGTCAGGCTCTCTCTAGGCAGCACTGCTCCAAGCCTCAGCTCACAAGTGCAGAGTGAGAAGCCTGTTCACAATCCCTTGGTCTATAGAGGTCATTGTGAGCACAAGCCAGAGACTCCATCTAACCATGATCCTCTTGTTAAAAATACACTTGGTTTGTGAAGTGCTTATTCATAAGGGAAGTTTCCAGAAGACGTCCCTGATGGCAACCAGGAAAAGCCTCTGGCTGGCGTGTCTCAGATGCTTTCCTTGTCCCGTGCAAACTTTTCAGCTTTGTTTTCAGGCACATTACTTAGGAACAAACACACTCTAGTTAGACAGTTTAAAGGGAGAGAGTTAGCACTCCAGCAGGGGCAGCGGCCTGACATCTCTGAGGAAAGATGAGGAGGTGGCAGGGGTGGGAAGGAAGATGAAGGGTTACTTTTGATGTTAGCTGTCTAGAAAGTCCTCTGGGTGGCTGGCTTTCTTCTCAGTTCTAATGGCCAAGTGCCTTAGAAAAGTCCTAGTAGCTTGTCCAGGTGTGAGACCTGGGGGACTGATGTGCGGGTTTATCCCTGTTGCCAGCTTGACTGGACTGACAAGCACCCGGGAGACTGGGACAGCAGTCCCTGGGTGTCTTGGAGGATATTTCCAGACAGGATTAACTAAGAAGGTGAAGGCAAACCCCTGACTGTGGGTGGTGCTTATGGTGGAATCATAGGCTGCAGATCAAGACAAATTAAAAAGAGAAGGGTCCAGGTAGTGGTGTCACCTGCCTTTAACCCCAGGTGGATCTCTCTGAGTTTGAGGCCAGCTTGATCTCTACAATGTGAGTTCCAGGATAGCCAGGGTTGTTACACAGAGAAACCCTGTCTCGAGAAAAAACAAGAGAGAGGAGAGAGAGAGAGAGAGAGAGAGAGAGAGAGAGAGAGAGAGAGAGAAAGAGCACCCCTGGCTCAGGCTTTCCTTCTGCTTCTTGGACAATATGCTGTGAGCTGCTGTGCTTTGCCAAGGCCTCCCCACCACAAGGGTCAGAGACTGAAACCCCAGCAGACTGGAGAATGAGTTAAAGACAGGGCTGTGGCTTGATCCTAGTAGCCCATGATCACACTTTTGTTTTCCAGTTCAAGTTGCCCTTGACGCTTGCTCTCACAAAGTTATATTCCCTAACACACAGGGAGGTTAAGTCAGAGTAACTAGTGTAATTCTAGAGACCAAAGGATGGACAGGTGTTCCCTGTAACTCCCCCTCTCTCTCTCTCTCTCTCTCTCTCTCTCTCTCTCTCTGTGTGTGTGTGTGTGTGTGTTGGCAGCTTGGTGGCTGCAGAAAGTACAGGATCTATGGGAGGAAGGGTTTGCTGGGGATCTGGAGACAACATCCTCTGAGGGTACACTTAGGCACAAGTCTTTCCACAAAACTCCCTGGAATCTCTCTCTACATGTTCATTGATGGACAGTCCACGGGAGTCTTCTCCCCTTGTACATGTGAAAGCAGGTAACAGGTATTCTCAAATGGAACAAAGGGAGTCTTCTATATACCTCTTTTCAGGTTGTCCTCCACAGGAGGCAGAGAACAAAGGTCAGAAGGGCAAGAACATCACTGCAGAAAGCACATCTTCTCCAGGGTTTCCCCTGGGCTGAGTGGGGATGAGGCTAGGGGATAGGCAAGGTAGAAGGGCTTCAGGAACAATCCCTTCACAAAAGTCAACGTAGACAATCAATTTCCTTTCCTCTCAATCTGCCCAGTGGCCCGCAGTGGCTATGGTCTGGGTGAGGCCCAGTGAATGCCTCTGTGTTGGAGGGAACTCCTGTACTGCCTGATGTCACATGTTCCTGCTACCCTAGCTCACTTCCTCATTATGCAGAATATAAAAAGACCACTAGGCTGAAGCTCCAGTCCCTCCCGAGCAGAGGGAATTCCGGGTGTCATGGTTTCCAGAAGGGGAAGGCAGTCTCCCTGTGGGGTGTAATTACATCCCTGCTTTCTGCAGAAGAATAGTTTATGGCTTAAATGCTATTAATTGTAAGCCATTCTGTTTCACGGGAAGTTGTTCATTGATAACTACCCAATTAGAGTTATTTTGCAATTAGTCTATTCACAGTAAATTTACTGCAGAGGGGAGGCCACGGTGCAGGAAATTAAAGCATCATGGGGCTGGTGTGCCATGTGTCTTAAATGCCAACCCCATTAACCAGTTTGGAGGTCCTGGGAGAGCATGTCACCTTCGCCAAGGCAGAGACAGCCAACCCTACAGGCAGCCCCAGTGAGCTCACACCAGCTTCCAGACATTTCAGCATGACCAGAAGAAGCGTGGGAAACGCTGCTGTGTGGTGGTGGATGATTGTGGAGTGAGCTGTAAGGCAAATATCTGTGTAATGTGCATCACTAGCCAGGAATATTTGCTGAACTGTGTAGTCTTGAACCCTCTATGATGAATATACCACCAAAGCACAGAGAGGGCAAGCAACTTGCCCTAAGTCTCACAGCATGTGCCCAGGAAATCCAAGATCCAAATGCAGGCACTCTAGCCTTGCACCCATGCTCTGCCTCACTGTCATAAGCTCCCTTGTTTCCCCAGCTGATACTGTTCCTTGTGACTATACTAAGAGGGTGGCATAGCCCACAGGCAGCAAATTTTCTTTGGGACTTGTAAAACTTGAGCTGAAGTAGAAATCTGTTTTCCTCCTGAAGACCAACAAACTTATGGAAGGGACTCAGGCTCTGCAACCTGAATTCCAATACTACTTTTGCTGGCTATTAGCCCATGCCTGCAACCAAATCCCAAACCTCTCTGAGCCTCCGTTTCCTTAACAAAGGAATCATGGGGATAAAACACAGCATTTATTATTCGAATATGGATAGTCCACAGAGTAGTGATGGATGGCCTAGAACTTTTCAACTCGACAATGCTGAGGACACAAACCACACCCACACCATCTGCTTCCCACCTTCACTGCAGCCTTACCTAATAACTTACACAGTGCAGTTAACACATTACCTTAATGTAAGCTTTGCCAAACTGTAAGCTGATGGAAACTTTCTGAGCACATTTGAGGCAGAGCAAACTAAGCTAGGACATTCCATAGGACATATATGTTATGTGCATTTTTGAGTTCATGGCATTCATATCTTAAATTAGGTGGTCAAGGATGCAAGCCTCTCCCTCACAAGCTAGGAAGCAACTGGAATCCCCTCCAACCTGAGCAAGTACATTGATGTTTGTGTGTTTGCTCTGAGAGCAGACTCCTGTCATTGTGATAGAGATGTATGGCCCAACAACCACACAGATTTACTACTAGGCCCTTCATGGAGCAAGCATGTAAGCTCTGTATGTGGCAGGAGCCACATTATCATGGTTTAGCCTCCTGCCTGGCACTGGCTAAGAACAGCTCTTGGAAACATTGCATTCCACTTAATTATTGCTGCACACTAAGTGCCAAGTGCAATCAAGAACACAGACAGGAACCACCTGGGCCACACAGACGATGGGGAAAGGAGGCTCTTTCTTTTTAAACCTATTGAACAGGAAGCGTTGCATAGATACTCGTTTGCTGCTACAAGCTCAAAAAGTCAGGCTGAACTTGACTAAGAGGGAACAATGTGTGAAGGGCATACTAAGCCTCCCTTTCCCACCTTCCCTCGGGACACTTAGAGTTTGAGGCCACAACCCATCTGGTAAACTGTATGGACACATAGAGCCACAAAGAAGTGTCCCTCAGAATCCACTGGGGGTTGGGTACCAGATCCCACAACACTCATACCCAGCAGTGTCCTATCTCTTATATGAAGTAGTATGGTGTTTGCTTATGACCTGTATATTTTCCTGTATGCTCCAAGTACTCTTTGGATGACTTATTTAATGCCAGGGCTGTATAAATAGTTGCTAAATTATATGGCTTAGATAATAATAATAAAAATACTAAAAATGAAGCCAAGATTTAGTAGACTGATTCGTTTTGTATGTTTGTTTGTTTTGATTTCTGTAGCCTGTGCATTTCAGGATAGCTGTGAACACAACACAACACACCTGTAGACAATGAGGTCATATCACAATGTCAAAGTTGGGCAGGCACTTCTGCTAAAGGGAACAGGTTAAATTACTAACACATGTAATGTGATTTTGTAAAACTTTCCTTATAGAAGATAGCAGGAGTTCAGAGTCCCCGACAAATTAGATCTTGTGATCAGGGTTTGACATAGTGTGGCTATACTCAGAGGGCCTGAAAAGGCAGATGGGTGGGACCAGAAACAGGAGGAAATGACTTACCCTCCAGGGGACAGAACCGAGCCACCTTCTCTGGCATCAGCAGACCCAGCTTGTGGCGACAGTACGTTTCTGCAATCTCCTGGCGGCAGTGCTTGGACTTAGCACGGGTCAGGGCTGAAATGGCCTCCTTGCCAGAGATGTCACATTTGGGGGGCTGGTCGGACTTGGTTTCGGGGGACCCACCACCACCAGTCTTTCTGGTGTGGCTGTGTCTTGAGAGATCCTTCCCTTGGCTACTATCGCCTGTGGCCTTTTCCTGAGGAGGCAGCACCTCCTTGGGGCCTTTCCCAAGGACTGACTGCCCCTGTCCTTTGTCCTGGGCATCCAGCTTCCTCTGCAGCCGCTCCTTCTGCCTGCTGGGGGTCTTCTTTGCCAACTCGGGCTGGTGCTTCTGCTTCTGGGTCCTGGGGGCGAAGTTGCTGTTGTCCACATTCTCAAAGTCCTTTGGGACTGAGTTCTCATTGTTGCTGTCAGTCCGAACTTTTTCTTTGGGCCGGTGAGAGAAGTAGCCATCCTGGGGAATTAGAGAAACAGAGAAAGTTGTCACTTTGTTAAGCCACTCTGGTAAGCAGGCTGACCCTGAGGGGGCAGGCAGTGTGACAGGAGTGAAGCCTGGGCTAAGATCGCCATTCTTCTCTTATTGGCTCAGACAATGGAAATATTTTTCACCCTGAACCTTAGTTTCCCACTCTGCTCCCCACAAGACATTAAGGCCTTTCCATGCTCACAGTGACAGGGGTTCTCAAAGATCCCCTCATCCACTTCACTGTCTGGGAAAAATTTCCTTTGGGGTTCCTGTTTGAATTTCAGCAGAAGGTGCTGTGACGATGTATAGAAGAGCTGGAACCATCAGGGTCAAATCATAAAGGAGATTTTATATTATATAATGTAGCCCTGGCTCTCTCTCTCTCATATATATATATATATATATTATGTGCATATGAATGCAGTGCCCTTGCAGGCCAGAAGAGGCCATCAGAGCCCCTGGAGCTGACAGGTGGTTATCATCCCTTAGTCCTAAGATCTGAATTCTGGTCCTCTGCAAGAGCAACCATCTCACTTAGCTGCTGAGCCATCTCTCCAGGCTCTCAACTTTCATCCATGTTGCTACACATTACAAAATTCTCTGTTTAGGAAAGTCTAAATAATATCACTGTATGTGTAAGCCACATCTACTTTATATAGTTGTCTGTCAATGTTTTAAGGAATTGTCTCACTCCACCCCCAGTTCTTCATCTGAACCCAAAGAGGCAAAGAAGCCTCACTGTTTCTCTCCCTTTCCTGAATATTCACACCCCCACAAGGAAAACAACAACAAAACAAAATGCAACCTAGGAGCAGGACATGGTGGTTCATGACTGTAATTTCAGCACTTGGGCAGAGAAAGGAGAATCACCGAAAATTCAGGTCTATCTGGGCTACATAGAGAGTTTCAGATAAGCCTAGGCTACATTGTAGAGCCCTGACACAAGAATGACAAAAACACTTTCCCACTTGCCCCTACTGCCTCCAGCTGGCAAGGGAGCTGACCCCTTCACCAGCTACAACACTGGTGATAGTGGGATAGTGGGCCCTGGGCCTCATTGGGGCAGCACAGAGGAGCTGACCCTGTTGGTGAGGGCACAGGTGAGCCGGCCCAGGAATGTGAGCATGGAGGACCTGGTCCTGGCCCTCATCTGCCATATGGCAGCATAGGTGTGGGAGGGATCACCCCCCAAAAGAAACCACCTGAGGCAGGTGGGAGAGCTAGCCCTAAGGCCATAAGAGCAGGAGAGTTGGTCCTCCCCCTCATCAGCTGCAGCTGTCAGGAGAGTGGCCCCTACTCCACACCTGGGCAACACAGCAGAGCTGACCCTGAGGACATGAAAACAGAACTGGCCTTGCTCAGTGCTGCAAAGGGTGAACTCACCAGGACAATGCAGGAGAGCTCACCCTGGTGGTGAGGACAAGGGAGAGTTGGTGGGTTGACAAACCCTGAAACAAGCCAGGCCCATAACCAGGGCTATGAATAGACCCACCCCAACTTCCACCCCATCTGTGATCTGGTAGAGCACGTGAAGGACCAAAGCTGTAGGATCTCCACAATACTCGGCAACAGCAGGATAACCAGGAGGAGTTCCACTGAGGGCCCAGCATCCATAGTATAGCAGAAATCAGACCAATGACTTTGCAATGAACACATGCAAACAAAGACATATGTATAAAAGGGTTTACTGTGTGACTCACTGTGTCACACTACAGCTTCCATGACAAGACTGATTTTTTCCTTCTCTCTCTTTCTCTTTTCTTTTTTCATCTTAAATTTTATTTTATTTTATTGGGGAGAGGAGGTTGCAAGGGCAGAGAGTGGATACAAAGGGATGGGGAAATGAATGCGATGGAGATGTATGATGTGAAAGACACAAAGAATAAATAAAAAAGGAAATAAGAAACTATAGAAAAAGAATGACCAAAAACAAGCACAAACACCTGAGTATGGTAGCCCATGCTGCTGCAATATTAAGCTGGCCTAGCCTATAGATTGAGTCCCAGGCCAGCTTAGACTTAAGTGTGAGACCCTGACACAAATACAGACAAAAATCTTTGCCCTGAGAATGGCAAATGTACCCATATTCTCACTCCTAACCAATAAGCTACTTGAAGTTGGTACCTTCTGGGAAAGGGTAAACCAGTTTTCTCCAATTGAGTATCACAGGGAATACCAACCATACTCCAGAGATGGCCCTATGTCAGCCGTTCTCAACCTATGGATCATGACCCCTTTGGCAAGCCTCTATCTTCAAAAATATTTGCATTATGATTATTAGCAGTAGCAAAATTACAGTTATGAAGTAGCAAAGAAAGTAATTTTATGGTTGGGGGTCACCACAACATGAAGAATTGTATTCAGGGTCACAGTGTTTAAGAAGGTTGAGAACCATTGCTGTGCCTAGGAATAGTTGACCAATGTAAACATACTTCATTTTTTTATTCCTTTGTATGTGTATGCACTTTTGGTTTCATTTGTTGTTTTTTTTAACTTACTGGTTTTCTTTCTTTTAGTTTGTCTGTTTTTATTTTTATTTTATTTTATGAGAGAGAAAGAGAGAACTAACATGAAGTTACATGGGTAGAGAAGTAGGGGGCTCTTGGAGGAGTTTGGAGGGGAAAGAATACGATAAAAATTATAATAATAAAGCTAGGCATGCCTGTAATTTCAGCACTAAAGTGGTAGAGGCAGGAGGACTGCCAGAAGTTAGCCCAGCCAGTCTGGTCAACAAAACTAGGTACAGATCAGCCTGAATTACACAAAGAGACTACTGTCTCAAGGAAGGAAGGAAGGAAGGAAGGAAGAAAGAAAGGGAAAGGAAAGAAAGAATTGGGCAGTGTCCAATCAGATCTCTAGAAGATACTCATCATGCGCAGGAAGCTTGAGGAAAGGTGAAGCAGGAAGAATAGATCCAACCAAGGAGAAAAGAGCACACACAAAGAAGCTAAACAAGCAAGGTAACAGTACAAAGTGACTCAGACTCATTGTGCCTCAGTTTCCTCATCTGGAACAGGGATGTATTTACCTTGTGGGTATTTTGGTGAAGGTGAATGTGTTGGGAACTTCTGGAAGATTCTTCCTACTCAATTAAAGTAGGAGGAAAAATGAGCAACAGAGCTCAGCTATGCAATGACTTTACTAATTAATACTATGCCCGAGGGCTGGAGAGATGGCTCAGCAGCTAAGAGGGCTGCTGAGAAATCATAGGGACTCCAGTTCAGATCCCAGTGCCCACATAATAAGCCAGGCATTCTGCACACATCTGTAACACCAGCTCCTAGAAGGAGGAGACAGGACTATCTTAGTGCTTGCTAACTTCCTGCCTACCCAAAAAGAATGAGTCACAAGTTCTGGAAGAGATCCTGCCTCAAAGAAAATAGGCAGTGATAGAGGACATGTAACAGCCTTGCCCAGCCGCTCTGTGAATATAGAAGTATATATACCCTCAGTCACAACTTCTCTCTTTCTCCTCTCTCTCTGTCTCTTTCTCTCTCTCTCTCCCCTCTCTCTCTCTTTCTCTCTCTCTCACACACACCATGCATGCATACTTACAATAAATAAATCTTCCAAAAAAACATTTTGTCTTAATTTGCCCTTTCCCATCTCTCTCCACTGGTGGACACATGGGTTATGATTTCTCTATTTTGAAAGACCACATCCCTTTTATTCTTAGCCTATCCAACACTATCACCTTGGATTATTTATGCAAATACAACCCTTTGACTTGTTTTTATTTTAATGTACTTATTATAATGATTGTTCATTCAAACATTTGCGTGCATCTCAGAACTTCAATTAGAAGCTCCTGCCTTGCCTTCCCTCAAAGCTGTTGCTACACTTCATTTTTATTCCAGAAGAATAATTAAGTGCACTAATGTCCTCCACCCCCATTCAACCTTGGGCTTGTTCAGAACCGCTTTTGATCAGATGGAAAGATGCTAAAGACAACACGGCTCTCAGGGCAGGTTATGTGATCCCAGATGCCCCCCCCACACACACACAGAGGGGGGTTCTTTTCCTACCTTTCTCTTGGTCTCTAATGATCAGTCTTTAGACGAGTCCCTGGGTCCTGTTTTTCAGAGGTGAGGGTGGTAACTGTGACTTTTTTTAAAAAATGCATTTAGAGATTATAGCCTTTGCTTTCCTTGTTCGTGTGGAATGAGCACTGGGTAGGGAGGGGAGCAGACCTGTCTTGCTTTAGTGACTGTATAATTTTCTCATCTGTAATAGGATGGGTCCCACATGGGTTTTAGTAAACACTGTCTGAGTTGGTTGTTAATCAATATGATTGACTAGTAAAGTTCTTTTTCAGCTCATTGAACAGCAATCTGATAAAGTTTAAGAGACCAGAGATGGATGCTCTGAAGGGTACTGGTGCCATCCCAGACACAGCCCAGATCACTGCCTCTAACAGGGTATTGGTGTCAGAAGTCATGGGTCAGGCAGAAGGGAGTCAATTCCTCCTACTTCCATCGTTGTCTCTTCAAGCAGACACAGACAATCACGTCTCTCTGTATGAACTGAAAAGCTGACCTCTGACATCCACATCCACACGATGGCAGGCACACTGTAACACATACAAAGTAGCACACCAGTGGTTGCACTAAAACACACACACACACACACACACACACACACACACACACACACACACAAGTAAATAAATGGTGCATCACTGAAATGTTAATCCAAAGTGGTTCCCCCACCATGTGCTGGGGCCAACCTGGATCTGAGATCTGTGCAGGGATCATCAACAACAAACTGTTTCCATCATAATATGGAGATGTTATTTCCTTCTGGCTCATTCTTTCACAAGTATACAGAGGGTCTTTCCAGGAACTTTGTGACAGGTGACATTAAAACATGCAGGAATCAGAAGCAGGTGTGACCCTCCCCTCCCCGCAGATGACTTCTGATTGTGGTTTCCTGAGATCTATGTGACTGGCTCCTCATGTAGCCCAAGTTGGCCTGGAACTCACAATCCT